TTCTCACTGCTCACTTGTCGAATCTCATTGAGGGTGCCGGTTACAATGGACAAGGCTGAGCCGATTACCAGCACAACTGTTATGAAAAGCAGCAAGCAAACATAGTGCTCCAATGTACTTTCGGGCTGAAGCACTGGTGGGTTCGGCATGAGGAGGATCCATGCCACAGCATGCACATACTGATCCGCGCCTGGTAGATTCCTGGGTGCTGAAAGGCCAAACCTTTATGCTTGAACAAAACTGCTTAATTTGCTTAATGCAAGCTGACCCGGCTGTTGCATGGACGCTTGGACTCAGCACCATATCTCCCTTCCGTCTACATACCTCGTGCCTGCTGAATGGTGCTAAGACTCGTGATTCCTGCCAAGTCCAGCCAACTCACCCGAGCGCTGTTCGAGACAGATTGGCCCAATGCATACCAAATGCAAGCCAGCATGTGGGCACAGGTTGCAATCGACAAGACCACTCTGCCCACAGTTAATGTCAAAATCAACCAGTACTTGCCGGTGGCAATCACCAGATTCTCTAATATCACGCTGATCTTGCCCGTCTTGAGAATGCGCAAGACTCGAAAAATCTGTAGCATCCGCAGAATTCGAGAGTAGTTGTTGTCCTGGTATGCTGTGCTGCATGCAGCGATGTCCAAGACCACCATCGCCACATCAAAGGCAAACCAGGTTGTTATATATCGCTTGGCAATCTCTGGTCGCTTGACACGCAGGTGACCCATTCTATAGAACCCGGTGTTGAAATCCAGAATAATGTCAAGAGGCCATAGAACCAGGGTGGAGATTGAAAAGGCCTGTAGAAATCCTGCCCATGCATCAGATCTCCGAGGGGGACCTGGCGAGACTGTCACGTTCCAAGCGGTGCAGAGTGGTAGAATAACTGCTTCCAACCCGATCACGCAACTTACGAGGGCATCCCAGGCAAGACGTATTCCGTCATCGGGCAACAAGATCCGGACCCACCTGAGCCATAGTCTAAACTCCTAGTATCCCACTTAATGCCCCTAGTAGTCCCCTATACTAACCCCCTTGATGGAGTTTAGACTCTAGACATCTCTAGACTATAGCTCACCTTCCGGCATTGATGTCGGTGCTGAAGGTGCGACTTCGGGTTGCTGCCTTTCGGACATCTCGGCTGGAAACGAATCTGCCTTTGCCAATGGCTTCAACGGCTTCCTCGGCCTTCATGGAGAGCTCCATCAGATGCGAGTTCAAGCGAAGGTGCAGGTGGTGGGTGTTCTCGCGTTCCAGCTGTGAAGTTGCAGACCGCTGTAGCGCCAGAGCTGCAGAGGACAAATGCTTAACATCTTCCTCCTTCTCCTCCACATCAAAGTCAGCAGTCATCACCCAGGCTTCCTCTTTCAAAACCCAGGACTGCTGATGGGTTAGTGCATCTGAGATGCTTCGCTCCTCCTGCTCATGCGACTTGGATTTGGGCTTGCGAATGGTGAGGTCCTGCTCCACAGCCTCCTGCAACTGTCTCACCTGCTCCTGGATCCCCTGGAAAACTCTGCGCAAATCGCTGTCCAAGTCTTCGAACCGCTGTGCAAGTTCAGCCCTTGGTGCAAGTGCTCTTGAATTTCACGGTGTGCTGCTCAAGATGTGTATGAACAAGCACGGAGTGCCACAGATAAACAAGTGCAAAAGAGAGCAATGCGTACTCACTTGTTACAAAGTTGCTGCATGTCAGCAATGAACCACCAGGCTGCCGCGGAATCTTGATGAAAGGCCCAAGGGCTTCAATGCTACTCGTCGTGCGTGTGAATTCAGATCTGCATTCTGTGTTGCTTGTTGTTGTTTTCCAACCCTTAACCCTAAACCCTGGCTGTAGCCTGAACAACTACGGAACTTGCGGCGCTGCTGTGGCTGACTGTGAGCCGCCATGGCAACAGACAAATCTCGCTGTTAATGATCTTGCGCACTGTGGAAGCCAAAGCAGTCATAGCACATTATAGTTTGTTATAGTATGCTAACACCATAGTATGCATATGTATATATAGTATATTCTGGTATGAGCAATAACTTTCGATAAGAAGGTTAGGACTAGGATAGCATTTCAGAGGCTGTTCAACATAACCAGCCTAAAAAGCTCCAGGCAAGATCTCAAGACTGCATTTTATCATAGCATTCCAGTTGATTTGCTCTGACAAGCTGCAAGGACTTGCACGAAGCAGTCTCCAGCAGAAAGGGCAGCTTGTGACACTGATTGGCTGTGAGGCAAGCTGCTGTAATATGTTCATACAAAGCAGCCTCAAATTCAGCAGATGTCGACAGGTACTGATATAGCACAAACCATGCGAGTCGCCACGTTGTTTTGAAAGATGACGATACTGCCTCAAATGAAATGGAACTTGGCTGCAGCGAATTCCGAAATTGATGCCACATTAGCGCAGCGTGCTGCCACTGCATGGCCTTGCCAAAGGCATCCAGGGCTGCATTGTAGGTGATAAGGCTGGCTTCTAAAGATGAAGCCTTGAAGGCGGTCAGAAGGCGGACTGCTTGTTTCCACTGCCTACTTTTTGCATATGTGCTCAAGGTGGTGTTGTATGAGATCGTATCTGGAAGCAATCTGGGAATGCGCAACTCCTGGAGACAGCGGTAAGCCTGTGGCCACAGCACAGCCCTGTCGCACATGTTCAAGTACGCATTGTGCGTGATCATGTTGGGCTGTAATCTTTCTTCGGACATTTGGAGTGCAAGGGCCGCAGCGCTTTCCCACTGGATTGTGCGTCCGCAGGCGCTGATTGCCGTGCCGCATGAGACCACATCACCTCGTGCATGGCCTGGCCAGCGAAGTAAGCAAAGTACAACTTCCCAAGTGCCTGCTTTCTCGCAAGCACTGAGTGCAGCATTCTGAGAAATCAGGGTGGTCGACGCCCGACGACGTAGCAAGTAGAGGCCAACTTGCCACCTCTGGCAGCTGATAAGCACAGTGATTGGCCTTTCCAAGCTCTGCTCGAAAGAGGTTGAGGCTAGGGCCGCCTGCCACTCTGTAACAGAAGCACTGATCGCAGCAGTTGTGGTTATCACATCTGGCTCCAGGGTTACCACGTGCAAGTTCCTCACATAAACAAGTGCTCGTGGCCAGGCAGAAGACTTGGCCAAACAGTCCACACATGAGTTGTAAGATGAGGTGCTGCACCTCACGCTTGCGCAGACTGTCGTTCGGAAAAGCGCTAGAGCACTTGGCCACTCAGCGCATGCAGCAATGCACGAGTTGCACATAACTGTATCAGCACGCACAGCGGACACCTCCATCTGCTGGAGGAAATGGACTGCTATAATCCACATCCCGGGCTCTGCGCTGCAGGTGCTGGTACAGCTGCTGAATGTGATGACATCAGCTTCCAAGTTTTGCACACCGAGATCTTCAAACCAGGAACAAGATCTTGACCAAAACTGGCCAGCCCCTTGGGCACTAGCGACAATGTTCCAGGCAACTATGCTTGTCTCCAAGCCACTTCGGAGGCCAGATTGGTACACACTGAGGGCTTGTTTCCATTGCCTGCCCTTGTCGCATGCGCTCAGAACTGAGCCTATGGATAAGACACTGGCCTGCACCGTTCTGCTCATGCGCGATAGGATGCGCAAAGCTGCCGTCCATCGGAACCTCTTTCCACAGCTGCTGATTGCTGTTGCACATGTCACATGTTCGCAAGTAAGGCTCTTTTTCTCCAGTTGTTCCACTTTGTCGAGGGCAAGACTCCACAGGCTATGATTCGCGCATGACTGCATGCTGGCATTGAACGTTATGGTATTCAAGCGTATGAGCTGCCGGGCACAATCTTCAACGACACCAAGGCCTCTGCCCCACACCACAACTTGACCGCAGGAGCTGACGCATGAATTATACGATACCACATCAGCAACTAACCTCACAACGGTAACGTCTGCCAACAAGCCCAGGGCATGTTTCCAGCCCTTCCTCCCCGCAATATGAATGGCACGGTTGTACTCAAGGATGCCTGGTTGCTCATCAGCTGCTGCTCGTACTGCGAGCTCCATTCTAACTCACTTGCCATCCATGCTAATCTCGACCGGTGCAAGCAACGCCGTGCCGGTGGTCCCAAGGCTTCACTCTCTAGTGAAGTTCTGCTGCAAGTAAGCCGGAAATGGCATCCTCCTTCTCAGGAATATGCATGCTGTCGCTCAATCACTTTATCCAAGAGCTGGCTCAGCTGGCAGAAGAGGTCATAAGAGTACTTTGCAAACAAAGGCCTCCTGTGCATATCCCCCCACAGAATCTGAAGACGCAGCCATCCTTCCTAAAAACACGGAGCAACAGCCTTCATACCTTTAGCATGCCCTCTTCACAACAGATTGGCATTGTTACTCTGTCGTTCTCTTTTTTTCAAACCTCGCCACGCTCCAGCTGCAGCTTGCTTCTCCTACCTGAGAACTGCTGCAGCAGAAGAGTGAAGTAGAAAATCCAACGCTGAAGCAGTGGCAGCACAGCAGCTTCAAAGAAACATCAGTATATAGGGTTTATATTGGGGCTATATAGGGATAATGGAAAATAAAATGGAAACTACTAGGGTTTATAGGGATTCTAGAGGGTAAGATCTGATTCTCCCAGTTTCCTTGTTTTGGGAGCCCCTTAATGGCACCTGGCTGGCCTCTGCGTTGTGTGGGCATTGCCGCCTTCATGGCCCCTGATCTGCTTAGCAGTTCAGAGGCCGAGATTGTAGTATACTATAGTATACTATTGCATATTATGATATATGATAAAATATTGTAGTATACTATAGTATACAATTCCTTGCGTCGTGCGCTGAGGTGACACGAAGTCAACGGTGCTCACCGAAGACAGAAAGTTCTTCGATTAGTAAAGCTAAACGCTACATCAAGCAGTTGCCTCTACAGCGCAGCAGCTTTAGTTCCGCGCCTCCCAACCGTAAAGTCATTGCTGGGGCTAGACCTGCTAATTCTATTCTGCGCGTGCTTAAGCTGCAGTCAACATGATGCTTGCAGTACTTGAGCTAGGATCAGACGTCAGAAGTGGCAGTGCACCAGGACTTGTTGCTGAGTCGCATTCTTGGCGTCCTCCATTTTCCTTGACTTGTACACAAGCTCGCGGATGGAACCTGCAATCAACACAATATCAGAGGGTGGTTCGCTAACTCTGCGCCAGTTCTCCTGCGACACATCCACCTGGGCTGCTGTTAAGGAACT